ACAACAAGATTGCCCTGGCAGGAACGGGTGAGGGTGTCCAGGAGAAAGGGACTGAGGCTCCCCTCTCCTGGGTTGAGAGTGCACAGGGGAGGCCCCAGAAAGCAATGATGTGTCCAAAATAAGAAAGCTGGCATCTGGACTCCTGACTCATTGGGAAATCTGTTACTGAAGTAGCAGCGAGAAGCAGAAAGAGAACAAACAACTCTTCATGGGCAGCCTTGCTGAGAACATTCTTTCCCCCTCCTCCTCATCCCTGCTTGGGAGGAGCAAGAGCCAAGCGAAGAGGAAAGGAATGACATTACCACCCCCTCCACTAAAAGCTGCTGTAGCCAGGAGCCCACCTGCACCAGAATGAGAAGAGCTATGAATATGAACTTAAATATTTAAATGGGGCAGATGGGCAAGCCTAAGTCATCATACTTGGAATGAGACTGTCGTAGCTACTGAGAGTGACTGCACAGTTATGGGACCAGCGTAGGCTATTTCTAAGGAAATCTGCTGTGCAGGGAGCAAGATGATTTGCTAGAGACAGTGGGGATGGTTAATGGAGAAAAAAAAATGAAATTGTTTCATATAATATATATATATATCACACAAGTTAAGACATATAAAACTGGTTATATACTTATCATCTATATTATAAAAGGCCTGTGGCCATACACCGTAATGCCGTAAGGACCAATGACCGGACTCACCAGGTGCACTGATGGGTCCCGCGGCAGCAGTGGGAGGGAGTCGGGGTCCCGTGGTGCGGTAGGGGAGCGCAGGGGGGGGAGTCTGGGTCTCGCGCAGTTTTGCGGGCTGGGCCTCTAGTAATTTATAAGTATTTACTAGCTTATTGTTTGTCTTCCTTATAAACTATCAGCACCATGGACCAGAGACCATGTCTATGTTGTTCACTATTGTATCCCTTCAGAGGACAGCACATGTGCTCAAGCAGGATTTGTCGAAAGAATATTTCTTATCTTTTAAAGACATAAACTAAAATATCTACTGAATAAACAATGTGATGTCCAGGGTTCACTTTAAAATAACTCAGGAAGGCAGGGTTGAAAGAGTGGGTGGGAATATAAGTAGAACGGATTGATATTGTTGAAGCTGGATGTAGGGCACACAGGGTTCATCATAATCTTCTCTCTACTTTTTTTAACTTTTAAAGATTCTGACAAGATCATCATTAACTTTCTTAATTTAAAATTTTTTCTCAATGTAATATGAAAACATTCAAATATACATAAAAGTTAAAAGTGAGCCCCCGTATAACCACCATGAAGACTTGACGATGCTAACATTTCGTTGTGTTTGCTTCATAGCTATCCATCTACACATTTATCCCTCTTATTTTTCGTGCATTTCAAAGTAACTTGCAGACATCAGTACATTTCACCCCTTAACACTACAGCATGCATATCATGACAGTTCACAATTTTTTCCATTTCTTTAAGGTAAAATTTACTTACCACAAAATGATATATTTGCTGCATAGAAAAACATTTATTTGTGTAATCTACAAAAATACAACTATAGTCCTAGCCAGTCTGGCTGAGCGGATAGAGTGTCGACCCACGGACCGAAGGATTGCAGGTTTGATTCTGGTCAAGGGCACATACTTGGTTGCAGACTCCATTCTCAGCTCCGGTCAGAGCCGGAGTGGGAGGCAACCAATCAATGTGTCTCTCTCACATCGATGTTTCCCTCTCTCTCTCTCTCTCTCTCTCTCTCTCTCTCTCTCTCTGACTCTTCCCCTCCCTTCCACTCTCTCTAAAAATCAACGGAAAAATATCCTGGAGTGAGGATTACAACAACAATAAAAATACATTTCTATTTAGAAATTTATAGTGTTATGTTCCTGTCCCCCCAGAATTCATATGTTGAAGCTCTAACTCCCAAGATGATGGCATTTGGAGATGGGATCTTCGAGAGGCAAGTAGTTAGATTAGGACATGAAGATGGGGCCCTCATGATGGGGTTAGTGGCCTCCTAAGACGAGGACAAGACATTCTCTCTCTCTCTCTCTCTCTCTCTCTCTCTCTCCCCCCCCCCCCCCCCCGGGGAAAGGCCATGGGAGGATACAGGGAGAAATCTGCAGCCCAAGAAGAGTCTTCACCAGGAAATGAACTGAACTGGCCAACACCTTGATCTTAAACTTTCCAGCCTCCAGAGCTGTGAGAAAGTAAGTTTCTGTTGTTGAAACCAACAGTTTGTGATATTTTGTTATGGCAGCCTGAGCAGACTAAGACGTCGTGTTATTAGGAAGTCACCAAGGGGGCTTGATTACATACTTTCTTAAAGATCACTTTGGCTGAGTGTGGAGAACGAAATGAAAGAGGGCAAGAATAGACTCAGGAAGACTGGACAGGAGGCTATCACAATAGACTGGGTCAGAGATGAACTTAGCTTATCTAGAATCAGCAGAAGCCAAAAGAACTGCATGGGTACAAGAAACATTTGGAGGTAAAACAGATAAGATTGGTTGATGAGAAAAAGATAGAAATAAGGCATAATGATCAGCTTTCTCACTTGAGCAATTGCCGGCTGGTGGTACCACCATTTACTGAGACAGGGATCACAGAAGGAGAAGCAGGCTTGGGGGGGGTGGGCGGTTGGGGGGAGCACAGAGGGGTGAGTTCAGTTTTAGACATTCAATTTGAGATGGCTGTGAGATTCAACAGACATTTGGATATTTACATCTGGAGCTTTGAGGACAGACTGGGCTGGAAATAAACCTGTGGGAGTCATTGGCATAAAAATGGTCATTAAAGCCAGGGGAATAGTTGAGATTGTGTGGGGAGAAGTGTGTGAAGATGATCTATGACAGAACTCTGAGAGACATCAAGATTAACCAAAAAACGTATACACATATATGCATAACCCATAGACACAGACAATAGTGAGGTGAAGGCCTGGGATGGGTGGTGCAGGCTACAAGAGTCACGGGGTGGGGGCGGGGGGGGGGGCATCTGTAATATTTTCAACAATAAAGATAAATTTTTAAAAATATTTAAGAGGTGGGAAGAGGAGCAGCAGTCAAGTAAAGAGACCGAGAGAAGTTGTAAGAGTGGTGCAGATTCACCGAAGCCTAGAGAAGCAGGGAGTTAAATAAACTGAGTGTTTCATGGCATTTGGTGAGGACAATGTAATGAATCCCTTCACAACAAGGATGATTTCAGCTGCTCGACCAGAACATCTGAAACCTGTTGGCCATAAACTCCCTGTCCACCAGACCTCTGGTTTTCAGCGTGTGGTCCCCAGAATAGCAGTAGAAACACCCGCTGGGAACTTGTTTGAAACGCAAATTTTGGGGGCCCCGCCTCACAGTACTGAATTAGAAACTCCAGGGTGGGGTCCAGAAACCTGTTTTTTTGTCCAGCTTCCTGGGTGATTCTGAAGCTCAGGAAAGTTTGGCAATCACAGCCCCACAAAGGGCTTAGCACCTGATACAGACCTGACCCCCCTTCTAATAAACACATTTTCATTGGGATCTGTTAGTACATTTCACCTACTTGCTTGAGTCTAAGAGGCAGGACTTTGCCAAAACCCTCACATTTATTGTAACACAGATCCCATCCTGATTTTAATGATCCTACCTTATAACCAACCAACCACCTACCCCTCTCCCTCTACTGGGTATATCTTTCTTCATTTTTGTAACCTTGCTCATTCATAACATCTAACTACTACCTCATGGGTTCTCTTTGTGCATTATGTTTGTTTCCCTGATCCTACTACCAACTGAACAAGTCTCTATATCTCAGTTTATTTATTTTTTAACTAGAGGCCCGGTGCACAAATTCATGCACCAGTGGGGTCCCTCGACCTGGGCTGCGGGCATCAGGCTGAAACCGGCTCTCTGACATTCCCCCAAGGGGTCCCAGGTTGCGAGAGGGCGGTTCTCGGGTGACACACCCTGGAATGGGGCTCCCTCCTCTCTGGTTCCAGGGACATTGCCCCAACACCACAGCTGCTAAGTCACCGCAGCTCAGCAGCTCCTACGTTGAGCGGCTAGCCCTGGTGGTCAGTGCACGTCATAGCTACCAGTTGGCTGGTCGCTTAGGCTTTTATATATATAGATATTTTCACTGATTTCAGAGAGGAAAGGAGAGAGACAGAAATATCTATGATGAGAGAGAATCATTGATCAGCTGCCTCCTGCATGCCCCACACTGGGGATGGAGCTCCAACCCCAGGCATCGAACCGTGACCTCCTGGTTCATAGGTCCAGGCTCAACCACTGAGCCACGCCAGCCAGGCTAAATCTCACAGTTTATATCTCTGAATTACATGGATTGTTGATGAAACTGCAAGTTAGTACAATTTAGAAGAGTAATTTGGCATCGTTTATTGAAACAACTAGGGCAGTGGTCGGCAAACTGCGGCCCTTTGAGTGTGGCTCTTCCACAAAATACCACGTTTGGGCACGCCTGTACAGTGAGATTGAAACTTCGTGGCCACACTCAAGGGACCAAAGAGCCGCATGTGGCTCGCGAGCCAGGGTTTGCCGACCAAGGAGGAAATTCGCCTTTGACTCAGCAATTACACTTCTAAGAATTCCTCTTACAGATGTATTTGCACATGTGCAAAGAAGTGGGGCCTCCCCCGCCTCAGTCCCGGGACTCAGGCCCACGCCCGGGACTCAGGCCCCTGGAGGGGCCCCGGGCTCAGGCACAGACCTGTTCACACCTCACTTCACACTGGAGTCCTTCAGCAGCAGCTGCGGAAGCCCTCGCAGCCGCAGCCTCTGACGCCCGCCCTCACCACCGACCCCGACCGGCTGCAACTTGACTTTCCTTCCTTTTTTCTTATCTTCGGTCAGGGAGGACGAGTGCCACCACCGAGCACGATGACCACGGCCTTGACCGCGCCCGGGGCTGCCCGCTGCTCGCTGCCCGCGGCCTCGGGGACCGGGTCCAGGAGGGGCGGGGCTGGGAGCGGACTACGCGGGGAGGGGCGTGGTTAGGGGCGGGAAGGGGCGGGGCTTGGGCGGGAAGGGGCGGGGCCGCGGGGTGATGGCCTGGGTTGTCGCTGCCGCGGCTGCCGTCTCCTCAGCAGCAGGAACTGAAGTCCTCGCCGCCGTCGCCCGGGTCGCCGCCGCCGCCGCCGCCTGGGTCGCCGGTCGCCCGCGCGCTGGCCCGGCCGGGGCCCGCAGCCATGGAGGACTTCATCGTGATCTCGGACGACAGCGGCTCCGAGAGCTCGGAGGGCACCCGCTCGGGCCGGGCGCGGAGGCTCCGCCGGGCCCTGTCCCGGACCCCGGGCGCGCTGCCCCGCCGGACCGTGGTGAGTGAGCGCGCTCCGCGGCCGCCGCGCCGATCCGCGACCGTCCGCCCGGCCCTGGGTCCCCGCGCCCCCGCGTCCCCGCCGCCCGCCGGGTGGCGCCGCACAGCTGCAGGGGCTTCCCGCCTCGCCGCCTCCGGGCCCCGCGGAGCGCGGCGGGCCCGCACGGGGGCGGCCTGGCCTCCCGGCTCCGAGTTCAAGCCCGAGCGGCCGGGGGCTGGCGAGGGGCGGCCGAGCACATGGGCGACGTCCCACGGCCGGCGGGGGCGGGGGCGGGGGTCCCCGGGGCCCGGCGGCTGCCCCGACCGCGAGGCGGCCCGCGGGCGCGTGCGATTGTTTGGCTGCTGGTGGGTGCAGATGTGCGGGGCGGCCACGGGAGCCGAGGCGGGCGGCGGGCGGCGGGCGGCGGGCGGCGGGCGGCGGGCAGTCGGGCCTGGGCCGATGGGGCGGCGCTGCAGGCCCGGCGGCCGCGGGAGGGGCCGGGGTCGGAGCTGTGCGGGGGGCGACTCCTGTCGCTTAGCAAACGTTCGCCGCGCCCCGAAGGAACCCGGGGGAACACCTGCCCGGTTTCTTTCCCTCTCGGCTTCCTCAGTCTTTGTCCTTCGTCCCGAGAAGGTGAATGAGACGTCTTCGGTCCCTGCTTTTCTAGAACCCTCCACAGAGACTTGTTGGACCCCCTCCCACGGGCCAGGTGTTCTCGGGGAGGGGGGACACAATAGAGAGCACGACGTCCGGGTCCCCGCTCCCAGGAGGTGGCAGAGCCAACAGGTGGCTCTGGAGTGCCCACGGGGTCGGCGGACAGGCTTCTGTCCGAGGACGTCGGCCTCGGGCCTCCCCGCCTCCCGACGCCGCTCACCCCTCAGCCCGAGGTAGAGGAAGGATCGCGCTCCTGTTACCTTATGGGTCTCCCATGTGCCGTGCAAGGAAACCACCTTTCTTCACACGCGAATACCCCTTCCAGGCAGCTCTAGCCTCCGCGCCTTCACGCCCCTTCCCCGCAGCCAGTTTGACCCCTCGGCCTCCACGCGAGCCCCTGTGACGGTCACTGGAGAATGAACGGCGTGCAAAACGCAGGGACGTACAGTGCTGTGTTGCGTGGTTCAAGCCGGAGGGGTTCGCCGTAAATCTCAGTAAAGACTCTAGATGAGATGGACATACAAGAGGGTTTCACGGGAGAAGTGAGCCACCTGGTAGGTGAAGGGAAGTCCCCAGCACTGTGGCAGTGAGCGGGGCATCATAGGTCCACAGTGCATATTTTTTTTTGGTGGTGGGGGGTGGGGGTGGGGGTGAAATAATGATTGAAGGAAAGGGAGAGCGAGTTCAAGAGTGGGAGCAGGCTTGATGTGGACGCGGTGCTGCATTCAGCCTGAACCTACTGGGCGCGAAGAGCAGCCGGGAAATGTACACGGCGGTGGCCGGCCCAGAGAAACCGGTCCCGAGAACAGGCAGAAGGGAGAGATTTGGTGGCCGTCCGTATAGAAAGCACCGAAGGCCTAAGAGTGACGGCGGAAAGAGGTGGGAGGAAAAAAATACGGCAGAATCACTCAGCCGCCCTCCCTCCTGGTTCTCCCTCTTTCCTGCTGCCCCTCTCTCAGTCCCCCTTGGACTTGGTCCTTCCTGCCCGCTTCCCTCACCCTAGTCCGGCTTCCTTCTTCAAGCACACAGGTGGCACCTTACCCTAGTCCAGTGACGGCGAACCTTTTGAGCTCGGCGTGTCAGCATTTTGAAAAACCCTAACTTAACTCTGGTGCCGTGTCACATATAGACATTTTTTGATCTTTGCAACCATAGTAAAACAAAGACATATTTTTGATATTTATTTTATATATTTAAAAGCCATTTAACAAAGAAAAATCAACCAAAAAAATGAGTTCGCGTGTCACCTCTGACACGTGTGTCCTAGGTTCGCCATCACTGCCCTCGTCTGTCGTGTCTGTCGTGACTCTTCACACACACACGCGTCCGCTCTCCGGCAAGAGCATTTTGATCTTGAGCCTTTGGAGTTGAAGAGAAATGAAGGTCCAGTTCCGGAGAGTTAGACCCAGTTTAAATCTTGCTTCTCTGGATATGTTTTACTTCAGCTTTCTAAAAACTCCAAGCTTTTCTCCGTTTAGCTTTCTTGCCAATTAGATAAGGGCAGTTGGATAACCGGATAAGGATGACCGGATAACCGTGTAAAAGATCAGGGGCATTGAGAGACTTGCAAGGTTTTAAAGCCTCAAGAGCCTTTATCTCACTTTTCCTGAAGACCCTGAGGTCAGAGAGACCTCAGCTGTGTGAGCTTTGGCCAGATCTGTCACCTCTCTCAGCTTTTGCTTTTGGGAACATGAATACCTTCCTGGTAGAACCCTTAGAAGATTTGCAATGAGGCAATGCAAGGAAAATGCCCAGCAGAGATGAGAACTTTTGCTACACTCTCTGTTGTTTCTCAGCCAGTCCTGACCTTCTCACACTTGGCAGGAATGAAATAAAAGGAACAAGTTTTACAATTATTTTTTCTCTTTTACAGTATGGACTGAGGGGAAGCAACGTGCTTAAATTCAGGAAATCAGAAAGCTATCTCCAATACTGTAGTTAATATTTTGAACTCCTGGTCTTCACCTGGGCTTTAGTGCTTCACTAAGTTGATAAAGTTTGTTTTTAATAATCTTTATTGCTTTTTCTTTTCCACGCAGAACATGTACAGATAGTCGATTAATTTTTGGTTGACCTATTACAAAAAAATTTAGAAATGTATGTAAAGAAGAAAATTTAAATTGCCCTTAATCTCATTATCCACAGGTAATGAATGTTAACATTTTTTTTTAATGTTAACATTTTGATGTTTGTCTTTCCAAACTTGGATCTGTAAATGTGCATGTATACTCGTACATACCCATGTATCCCCCAATATTTGTTTTTGCAAAAATGAAGTCTTGCTATATATGTGTGTTTTTTGTATCTTGCCTTTTTCTATTTATGTACTTTTATCTCTTTCCACATTAATAAATACATGTCTTTACCAATATTTTTAATGTATTTTATTGTACAGATTTATAATTATATTTGTAATCTATTAATGGGTATCATGCTGGTTGTTTCTAAATTTTCTCTATTATAAATAACCCAGTGAGGAATTCCCTCATAAATAATCATTTCTTTGTTTCGGATAAGAGCCTCTTGGATGTGAGATTGCTGAGTCAAAAGGCATGTCCTCCTTTGAGAGCTTTTGACATATATTGCCTACAGAATTTCCTACAGAAATTGTGCATCAATTATAGTCTCATCATACCCCTTCCTTCACTGCCCAGTCACCCCTAGATATTGTCATTTTATTCAGTAAGTATTTATTGAATGCAGAGGGTCCAGCAATGAACAAACCAATTGAGATTTCCTTCTAGTCAGTGAGAGACAACCAGCTAACAACCACACAAATGTAACATCGGGTTATATACAGAGTGTTAGGAAGAAAAATAAGGCCTTTTCATCTTTGCTGATTTGAGGCCCAGATTCTGTGAGCTATCATGGTTTTAATTTTTAATTTTTTTCCTTTGGTTGTGATTCACTCTTTCAATAAGTATGTTCTCAAGGGGAAAGACAAGCAATACACAAATAAGTGAACAATATAATAGAGAGTACTTGGGTGGGATTGGATACATCAGATTGTGTTTTCAAAGAATGTCTCTCTGAAGGGTTAATAATTGATCTGAGACCAGAATGACAGAACAGATTTGTTATGAGAAGGTCTAGGAGAGTGGTCGGCAAACTCATTAGTCAACAGAGCCAAATATCAACAGTACAACGATTGAAATTTCTTTTGAGAGCCAAACTTTTTAAACTTAAACTATATAGATAGGTACATTGTTATTAACTTAATTAGGGTACTCCTAAGGCTTAGGAAGAGCCACACTCAAGGGGCCAAAGAGCCGCATGTGGCTCGCTAGCCGCAGTTTGCCTCTAGGGGAATAAGGTAGGAGCAAAGGGTGCAGCAAAAATAAAGGCTTGGAGCCCGGCTGGTGTGGCTCAGTGGTTGAGCGTTTGACCTACTCTTTTGAAGGTTTCAAGACACCTGTGGGTTTGCCAACTGGAGATGCCAGGTGTGATGTTTGTACTGAGTTTATAGGACAGGGAGGAAGTCCTCACTAGGGACACAAATTTGTTGTCATTAGCACATCACATAGATTATAGTGATTTGGATGTGATCGTCTAGGCTCAGAGGCCACAAGAAGAACATCCAGGGCGCCCTTGGCTTACGACCACAGTACTGCGCCCAGGTGAAGGCCAGGGGTGAAAGAACAGCTAGTGAGGCTAGAGGTCAGAGAATATGCTCAAGCAGGTTGCCTTTTCCTGGCCTGTTGGGGTGTAAATATTACGTACATATTAGATTCATTATGGGTTGAACTGGGTCCTCCCCAGTTGAAGTCCTAACTTCTCACTACAGAATGTGGCCTTATTTGGAAATAGGGTCATTACAGATGTAATCAGTGAAGATAAAGGCATATGGAGTAGGGTGGTTCCCCTTTATCACCGTGTGAAGTCAGAGGAAGAACATCTCGTGATGATGGAAGCAAAGATGGGAGTTATGCAGTAGCTGCACATTAAGGACTGCTGACAACACCAGAAGCTAAAAGAAAGGCATGGAACAGATTCTCCAGTGAGCCTTTAAGAGAGCTTGCCCTTGCACACACCTTGATTTTGGGCTTCTAAACTTCCAGAACTGGGAGGATAAATTACTATTGTTTTAAGCCAGCCAGTTTGTGGTAATTTGTACTAAAAAACTAATAATAACAGCCCTTTGTGTCATACATGTTAACATTTTCCCCACAACTTTTGATTTTCTGTACAGGAGTTATATTTTTTTTTTCAATCCTCACCCGAGGACGTGCTTAGAGAGAGGGAGGGAAAGAAAGACATCGATGTGAGAGAGAAACATTGACTGGTTGCCTTCTATACGTGCCTCAACCAGGGATCAAGCCCGCAACCCAGGTTTGTGCCCTGACTGCCAATCAAACTCTGAGTGGGAA